AGCAGTTGCGGTTCCAGCTGCTTGGGCTCTGCCGCCGTGGCTATGCGACCACGGGAAGTTTACAGCGCACCCTCGGGCGTGATTCCGATTGGTTGCGTGAAGCGCTTCGGGTGAGCTGCGCCTGGCGTGCGGGTCGAGGCACGACGCCGCAGCCGCTGGATTTGGAGCGGCCGCGCTACGATGTCCAACGGTGCTCCAGCTTTTTTTGAGGGCACCGAGAAGCGCATCGAGATCGATTTCGCGGGCGACGGCGACCTCCGCAAGGTGGACATGAGCGATTGGAAGGAGGTCGTGCACTTGTCGGCGACGCAGATTCTCAACCACAAGGAAGGCAGCAAGTTCACGAGCTTCTTGCTGTCAGAGAGCAGCCTCATTGTATACCCAAAGAAGGCGGTGATAAAGACATGTGGCCAGACAACTCCCATCGGGAGCGTCGCCAAGATCATGTCGGCCGCGAAGGGAGTGGGCATGGAACCGGAGTGGCTGTGCTACTCCCGGAAAAATTTCCTCTCGCCTGCGGAGCAGCCAGCTGAACACCAGTCGATGGTGGTTGAGACTGCATTCTGCCGCAAGGCCTGCGGTGGAATTGGGGACGCTTTCGTGCTGGGGCCGATGACGGGGGAGCACTGGTTCGTCTATGATGCGAATTTCAAGTTGAGGGACTGCACGAAGACCGGCGATTTCCAGCTCGACATGATGATGTATGGGCTTCCGAATGACGTCCAGCAGGTGTTCCACACTTCTGAGCCAGAGGGCAGCCGCGCAGGGGCCACGGCCATGACCAAGGCCTCTGGGCTGGGTGACATCATATCCTCCATCGGGGGCGAGGTGGACGACTACTGCTTCGACAAGTGCGGGTACTCCTGCAACATACACGCGGGAGATGCGTATGCTATGGTCCACGTCACGCCGCAGGAATCCTGTTCCTACGCTTCCTTCGAGACGAACATCGGATCGACCCACATCGGATCGGATCAGATCGGTGCCACCATCGGGGCCGACATCAGCGGGTCGCTCGACACCCTCGTCGGTGGCGTCCTCGACTGCTTTCGGCCGGAGAGGGTCACCATCACCCTCTTCATCGACAAGGGAGCCCTGGAGGCTGTGGACAACGCGCCCTTCAAGGCCGCGGAGAGACGCTACAAGCAGAAGAACTGCACGTCGACACACTTCGAGCAGGACTACCTGGCCATCATCGCCAACTTCGCCCGCGAGCCTGGGCAGAAGAGGGCGCTGGAGCCGCGAGCGCCCGGGCCCCCGCCCGCGAAGGTGGGCAGAGGCAGCTAGCGAGAGGGCCCCGCCCGAGGGAGGGCAGGATGTAGGCGAAAAGGGCAGGGCGGGGGAGAAGCAGAGGCCCATACCTCAAGCGATCGCAAGCATGGCCCCGGGGGCCGTGAACTGGCGACGGGTCCCGCTTCCATGGGAAGTCACGGGCTTCCGCCGCCGAGCGAGGCGGCACCGGCCGCACTTTGGGGGGGGCACCTCCCCCGATCCATGGACTGGGCGACCGCGCGCCAAATCCATGGATCGCTAATCCATGTGTGCGCGCGCCCGAATATCTCCGACGATGTGAGTCTTTCAGCCCAGGCGTTTGTCCTCGATGTCGGTCTCCGCGGCCCCTGGTCGGGCCCTGGGAACATCAAAAATGGCTGTGGGACGCACAGCTGTCCCTGGGGAAGCTCTCTGGGGCTGGCAGGATCGGAGGCATAGAGGTTGGCACTAGCACCAATATCGGCGGTTGCTTCCACCGTGGGATGATGATCTTGATCTCGTTGATGGTGGGACTATCTGGCTGCTTGGGTGGCCAGAAGATTACGGCCAGTAAGCGGGTTTTCGCGTGGTGGGTACCCCGCTGGCGCCACGTGCGCGTGCGTTGGCTGGGTGTGTGAGGGGTAGGGCATCATATACAGTCAAGACGCTGAAACAATGACTGCTTTTGGCTCTGGAGGGCCTCGTTTTTTAAGGCCGCACCTTAGATCTAGGTTTAAGTCGGGCCTGTCCCTCTACAGGAGGAAAATCCCCAAATAGTCAAACATATTCTCGGGGTTCGATTTTCCGTCCATTTGTGAGCCTTTTTTCGAATATTTGGCGAGTGTCTTTACTTCTTCGCCCCAAATCCCCCTGTAAGGGGGACAGGCCCGACCTGAATCTAGGTCGGGGAACCTGCCGTGGCCGAGGCTCGCCACCGCGGCCAGACAGGCCTGTCGCTCGCTTCTCCGGCGTGCCTCCAGGCAGCAGGGCGGTCTGCATGGTTCGAGCGCGCCTGGCCTGCCTCCTCCCTCTCTCCCTCTTCCCTCCCCCTCTCTCCTCCCTCCTCTCCTCTCTTCCCTCCCTCTCTCCTCTCTCCTCTCCTTCCTCTCTCCCTCTTCCCCCTCCTCCCTCCTCCCTCTCTCCCTCTCTCCTCCCTCTCTCCCTCTTCCCTCCCCCTCCTCGGGCCGGACGAAAGGGGGGGATAGGGAAAGGGGGGGGTACGAAATCTGCTGCATGCAGCTGGTTTCGGCCCCGCCGTCGGGCCCATTCCTCGATACACGAGCTACGTGAGCTGATTCTCAAACCCCGCCTTTGCTGTCCCCCCCTTTCGCCCGGCCCGACCGCCTCACTCGACCCCCTCGCCCGACAGGGCCCTTTCGAGCCCGCCCCCCCGACCCGCCCAGCAGGGCCCGCGCGCCTGCCAAGCCCGCCCGTAAGGGTCCGACCGCCTTGCCCGCCCGTGAGGGTCGGCGTCGCCGTCGTCGTGCTGATGGTCGTCGCGGTTGTCCTTCTCGTCGTCAATGTGCCCGTCGTCGTCGTCGTCGTCGTCGTCGTCGTCGTCGTCGTCGTCGTCGTCGTGGTCGTCATCGTCGTCGTGGTCGTTCGTCGGTCGTCGTTGTCGTCGTCTTCTTCGTCGTCGTCGGTCGGTCGTCGCCTGTCGTCGTCGTCGGTCGTCGCCTGTCGTCGTCGTCGTCGGCGGCGGTGAGTTGGGCGGTCGGTCGGTCCGTCTGTCCGTCGGTCCGTCTGTCCGTCGGTCCGTCGGTCCGTCGGTGCGTCCGTCGGTTCGTCCGTCTGTCGGTTCGTCCGTCCGTCCGTGTCGTCGTCGGTCGTCGTCGTCGCCGTCGTCCTTCTTCGGTCGTCGTCTTCGTCGTCGTCGTCGGTGGTCGTCGTCGTCGTCGGTCGGTCGGTGAGTTGGTCGGTCGGTCAGTCCGTTGGTCGGTCCGTCGTCGTCGTCGTCGTCGTCGTCGTCGTCGTCGTGTGGTCATCGGCGTTCGTCGGTCGTCGTCGTCGTCGTCTTCATAGTCGTCGGTCGTCGTCGTCGTCGGTCGTCGTCGTCGTCGTCGGTCGTCGTCGTCATCGGTTGGTCGGTCTGTTGGTCCCTCTGTCGGTACGTCGGTCCGTCGGTCCGTCGGTCCGTCCGTCGGTCCGTCCGTCGGTTCGTCCGTCCGTCCGTCCGTCTGTGCGTCCTCGTCGTTGTCGTCGTCGTCGTCGTTGTCGTTTGTTTGTCGTCGGTCGTCGTCGTCGTCGTCGTTGCCGTTCGTCGGTCGTCGTCGTCTTCGTCGTCGTCATCGTCGTCGTCATCGGTCGTCGTCGTTGTCGGTCGTCGTCGTCGTCATCGATGTCTTCGTTCGTCGTCGGTCGTCGGTCGTCGTCGGTCGTCGTCGTCGGTCGGTCGGTTTGTCCGTCCGTCCGTCCGTCGGTCCGTCGGTTCGTCCGTCCGTCCGTCCGTCCGTCCGTCGTCAGTCGGTCGGTGAGGCCTTCGGTCGGTCGGTCGGTCCGTCGGTCCGTCGGGTCGTCGTCCGTCCGTCGGTCCGTCGGTCCGTCGTTGTGGTTCGTCCGTCCGTCCGTCCGTCCGTCCGTCCGTCCGTCCGTCCGTCCTCGTCGTCGTCGTCGTCGTCGTTGTCGTTGTGGTCGTCGTTCGTCGGTCGTCGTCGTCTTCGTCGTCGTCGTCGTCGCTGTCGTCGTCGTCGTCGTCGTCGTCGGTCGTCGGTCGTCGGTCGTCGTCGTCTTCGTCGTGGTCATCGTCGTCGTCGTCGTCGTCCGTCGTCGTCGTCGTCGTAGTCGTCGTCGGTCGCCGTCGTCGTCAGTCGGTCGGTGAGTTGTTGGTCGGTCGACGGGTCCGTCCGTCGGTTGGTCCTTTTGTCCGTCGTCCGTCGGGCCGTCCGTCGGTTCGTCCGTCGGTCGGTTCGTCCGTCAGTCCGTCCGTCCTTCGGTCCTCGTCGTCGTCGTGGGTGTCGTCGTTGTCGTCGTCGTCGTCGACGGTCGTCGGTCGTCGTCGTCGTCGTCGTCGGTCGTCGGTCGTCGTCGTCTTCGTCGTCGTCGTCCGTCGTCGTCGTCGTCGTCGTCGTCGTCGTCGTCGTCGTCGTCGTCGTCGGTCGTCGTTGTCGGTCGTCGTGTTCGTCGTCGGTCGTCGTCGGTCGTCGTCGTCGTCGTCGTCGGTCGGTCGGTGAGTTGGTCGGTGAGTTGGTCTGTCAGTTCAGGCACCACGAATCGGTGGCACGGGAAATTCATTGATTCTATAGGCTTACGCCATATCCGCCGACCCCTCTGTAAACTACTGCGCCTCCAGGACTGCATTCTACGAGGCTTGTCCGAATCATGACACGGCGCTCGACATCCTTTCAGTGGCCCGTCGCCACGGCTAGACGCCGCTCGACAATCCAATGCGTTCGCGCTCCAAGGGGGGTCCAGGGTCTGTTGTCTGCCATCTCTCGGGCAGAATTCCGAAGCCGGGGCGAGGAAAAGTGGTAAGAATGCGTCAAGTTCAGGGTAGTGTGTGGCACGCTGTGGGATGTCCGTTGGGATCTCGTGGCGAGGATTCTCGCGGGCCTCTTCGAGGCAGTTTCGAAGGGTCTTGGGGGTCGTTTTGGGGATTCTTTTGGGCCTCTTGGGGGCTCCTTGGGGCCTCTTGGATGCCTCATGGGGGCCTCTTGGGGCCACTTGGGGGCCTCTTGGGTCTTCTGGAGAGCTTCGTTGGGCGGAGCGCTGGAATTCGCGGTTCGTGGTCCCTCTCTTGGGCCCTTCTTGGGGCCGTATTGGAGCTCTCTTGGGCCGTCTAGGGCGCCTCTTGGGCCACGTTGGAGTTCTTTTGGGTTGTCTTTGGGGCCTCCTGGGAGCCTCGTGGGCCGTCTTGGGGTGGTCCTGGAGGCCTCGTTGGGGCCTCGTTGGGGCCTCGTGGACGGATTTCAACACCGTGAAGGCTAACTAACAAGTTGGATATGCTGAAAATGCACGTTTTCCAAAGGAATTTCAAGATTTTGGTTTCTTGGGGGCTCCTTGGGAGGCCTCTTGGAGGCGTCGTGGGGTGTCTTGGCGGCCTCTTGGGCCGTTTTGAGCTCATCTTGGGCGTCTTGGAACGATCTTTCGGCGACTTTGGGTTCTCGTGGACCGTCTTGGCGGCTTCTTGGGAGGCGTCAAGTGCTGTCGTGCAGCTCAAGAGCGAGCCCAGGGAGCCCAGACCGCTCCGGGTGAGTTCGGTCTGGGGCCGCCCCGGGCCCGGGGTGGGGGTCAAAATCCTGGCTTGGGGTCCCGGGGGGGTGGATAAAAGAAGGGGAACAGCCTCACACGCCTGGAGACCCACAAGGGGTCGGCGGATTTCATTGCTTCCGTGTTCCCGGCTTCTGGTACCGCGTGAGATACAAAAACGGCTTGTCCCCGACGTTGACGAGATTCACCCCCGCGCGCACAAACAATTCCGACCAGCCTATGTCGGTAAAGAGGGCTACTTCAGAAGAGCCATGCTTTGATCAGCCGCGGCGTCCATGGTTCGTCGTTATTGAAACCAGTTTAGCAGTCATTGAAATCAATGCTTGTGGTTATTGAAACCAGTGTTCGCAATTATTGAAACCAATGTTAGCAGTTATTGAAATCGATGTTTGCAGCTATTGAAACCAATGTTCGCAAGTATTGAAGCCAACCTTCAGTTTCTGAAACTGAGGGGGTGGCGGATCAGTATACGTCCCTATTCCGGATCAGTATCTGACCACATTCCAGATCAGTATACGCCAGCCCGTATTCCGGATCAGTATACAATAATTTCCGCATCAGTATGCACCAATTTTCCAGATCAGTATGCACCAATTTGCGGACCAGTATACACCAATTTCCGGATCAATATAGACGTTGGTTGGCCGAGCGTTGGTTCGTCAAGTCTGTTTTGAATTTTGAGGAGCACCAGCCCTTATCATGCTCTTTCTTCCGCACTGTTTCAGCGTTGTGCTTTTTTTCACTTGTTCCGCTCCCGTGGCTTCGCTGCATTCGGACAGGTGTTTTTCGTTCCGTCTAATCGTTCGCGTCTTTGTTTTTTTCTTCCTCTCTCAGAGGTGCAGGTTTTAGTTTCGAGTGTTTTTTGTTGACGGATTTTTTTCTTTCGTCGTGGGCTTGTCATTGTTTTGATTGTTCTCGATTGTGTATTGCCGTTGGTTTGCTGTTCTCGGCTGTTATCCCACTTCTCTTTAGATTTCGTATAAAAATGTTGGATGGTTTAGATCTATTGGATGGCTTTGATCCGTCGTATCGGTTTCATTTCGTGCACGGTTGGGGGCGTGCTTTTTTCATGCTTTCATTGTCTTTGCGGTCCCCCTCTCATGTTCGTTTGTTTTCCCGTGTCTCAGCGGTCTCGGTGGCGTTGCTGGTTGGATGTCTTGCAGCTATTATGTTTTGTTTGCAGCATGATTTCGCCTACAAGCCCGACCATACACAATAGGATAAGGTCTCTGAGTTTGCATTTTGTTTTGTGTTCCCCAAACTTTGATCGTGTCTCAGCGATTTCGGTTGTGTATGTTTCTTTTATTTCCTTGCAGTTCTGTTGATTCCCGCTGCGCACAGAAGCCCGGTCATTAACAATCGCTAACTACAGTGGTGCACACAGATGTTGTGAAGCGTACGCGCCTTGTGGTCTACAGAGGCGCTGCCGTTCATGCGGCCGATGTGGTGTACACAGGCGTTGTGGTGCACGCGGCTCCTATGGAGCCTGCGGGCCTTGCTTTATCTTGAGTTTTAGATTTAGCAGGTTCGTCAGGTGTATATTGAATAGCTTTGGCGTTAATTCTCCAGGTGTATTTTGAATATTGAGAACCATCAGCTCTTATTGTGCTCTGTTTTTTTTCCCATGCTTCAGCGTTACGGTTTAAAACAAACACATCTTCCGCTCCCGTGGCCTCGTTGCATTCGGCTCTGTATTTTGCTCGGTCATTTGGGTGCTTCGCGTTTTTGTTTGTTTTGTCTGTTCTCAGCGGTGCGGTCTTTCAGTTTCGAAGCTTCTTCAGTTGGTGGACGGATTGTTTTTT